CCCAACATGGCCACATGACACCAGTCTTCCTTGGTAGATGAGGGCATGGCCTGACAAGCTCCAGAGATGGTGACACAGTCAAGGCCAATGTCCCTGCCCCTAGGGACTTCACTGCCTCCCCATGAAGGGACGTGGCCAGGCTGCAAGTTGGAGCAATGACATACACTCTGCATGCCAGGCTCCTAGGACAGTAGCCCAGTGCAGGCACTGACCACCCACAAGGCCCTTGGAGAGAGGACAATCAGCAAAGCACACCAGGTAGTGACTAAGACATCACTAGGTATCACATGAGTGCTGCAGAACCCCACTACTGGGCATATGTCTCAAGGCTCTATACACAGCCCTACTGGCCTACATCACTGAGAACAAGTTCCAATGAGCCCCGAAGCCATAGCAAAGGGCAGGGATTGTTCCCACTGAGACTGTGTTCTCTCAATGAAGCATCCGTGACAGGTGGGGCTTCTGAGAGGGATGTGTCCCGGGCAGAGTGTGGCACAGCGCCCACACGGCCCTCCCATGATGCTGTGGGTGGACACTGTAGGACTGCCCACAAGGGGCAGTGCAGACACTGTCCCCCAGTCTTACAAAACAGAACCAGACAAACCTCTGTGCTTATAAATTATGAGACTCAGTTTTAGGTCACTTTAGTTTGTTTTCGGTTCTGTTCTTGCTACTTAGTATGGAACCTAGGGCTTCCTGAGTCCTGTGCATGCCCTCTGCCCCTGGGCAGCCCTGTGGGGATATTTCCATTCCATTCCTTTCCTTTCCTTCCCGTCTGTGTCTCACTCAACAAGCCTGGGACTCACGATGTAACACCATCTGGCCTCAAACTTGAAGCAATCAATCTTCCTAAATGCTGAAACTACAGGTGTTGGGGTAGTATCCATCTCAGCTGAAATACTGTTACAAACAATGACAACCAACCCCAAAACAAGCAAAGACATCCAGCAGATTATGATAATCTAAATAAAATGGTGATTAGCCACATAGTGGAGAGTTATTTACTCGTGAAAAGGGATGAAACACAGTATAGACACATCGTGAAACAGAAGCAACCTGAGAGGAGTCAAACCTAGGAAGTGACATTTCACGATGGGTGAGGTGTGCCAGGTGTGGTGGTGCACATCTTTAATCCAAGCTACAGTGTGAGTTCCAGACAGCCAGGACAGAGAAACCCTGTGTCAAACAAAACAAAACAAAACAAAACAAGCCAGATAGTGGTGGAGCATACCTTTAATCCCAGCCCTCAGGAGGCAGAGGCAGGTAGATCTCTGAGTTGAGGCCAGCATGGTCTACAGAGCAAGTTCTAGAACAGCCAGGGCTATACTGTGAGACCCTGCCTCAAAAAAAAAAAAAAAAAAAAAGACTGGAGA